GTAGCATGAATGATTGTGTAAGAGAGCTATCCAGAGGTGGATCCGATTAAACAAGAAATCACTGACTGCGACGTAGCAGTGGAATACAGTGAAATTGTTTTTGCCCTCAAACTCCAGCTCGGTTCAGACAAGAACAGATATCATCGCTTTCCGCATTTATGGTGAATGAAACAAAAGTAAACGAAGTTTATTGGGGTCAAAGTGTTGTGAGTAGTGAGTAGTACGTAAAATGATGCGATCAGCGTTTTCTTTCAAAGACCAGAAATCAATGAGACGCGTTGGAGAAAATCGCTGCTGTTCGGTACGATTAAGACAAGAATGCTCATCTAATAGTGGATCGTTCCATCAACTATTCTGCAACCTTGTTCCAAATGAGATATTTTGTTATATGAATGAAATTTTACCATATCTCGAACTTTTTGGCAGTAAAGAGATCTCCTCGACCAGCACCGTCTGTTAGTGCCGTGACCAGGGTCTGGATGAAAGTCCCATGGCCAGCAGCTTTCGAGGATGGAGATATGTGAGTGTTCCTGGAGGAGTTCGTGGCGGAGCTGGCCGAAAAACGGACGAACCGCTGCAAGTTGCTGCCGCTCCGAACGTTTTTCAAGGACGGTGCACAGGTAGTGTTGGACGCGGCACGAAAAGGCCCGGAGAAAATGAAGTGGGCCGCCGCGAAGGACGCCTTGGTGGCGGGTTTCAACGCTCCGGTCGACCTCCCGTAGGCGTTGCAGAGTTCGGGCGGACTCTCTGTCGCACGCCGTGACCCTGAGCACCATGTTGGATTGAGCGCTGCCAACTTTTAACGATGCTGCTTACTCGGAATTATTACTGGAGCGTTTCGTGAAGAGTGTGCAAGACAACCTGCGGGAAACGTCGCGAATGGTCCAACAGGGCGCGCGATGGAACTATTAAAGAGACGTCGACTACGATCGAGCGTGACGCGCTGTAGAACGCGAACACCGAGCTCGCAACACAACCAAGCTACAGCTGGTTAAACCAGAAGACTTGTGGTTGTAGACGTTTATTGAGGTGTCGTGGCACGAAGAAAGTACTGGTACCGGCTAAAGAACGTTTGCGTTAAAGCACGAGGGCGAGAGAGCCAACGAGCGCGATAACGAAAAAAACGGAGCGAAAGCGAAAAAGTGAAAGTTCCCTTCGCGGAAGGATATAGCAGTTTTCGATTGTATAAAACAAACGTCACATGGCGTTGATACTGAAGAGAAAATGTGAGCGTACATTTAGATCGTAGATAAAAAGTGGTGTCTGGCAAATATCTGCCATTGTCCGGCTTCTACCGTACAATCGGCCACGCTACAGTATTCAAGTTGGCTGAAGCCATGAGACAGTTAATAAATCATGAAGTTTAGGCTTTTAAAACTCCCGAATTCCTGTGAAGACATCCTCCGGAGGACGTTACGTAAGCCCTAAAAGAGCTGACAGAAGTAGCAACACTGAAATCGAACTGCGGAATAAGGAAGAACAGGAATGTGTGCTTTCAATTTGGCAAACTGAGGCACTGGCGGAAATATCGCCCTGAAGGATACATAACACGTTCTCTCGAAAAACGGTTTACGCAGAACACGCCCCTCGCTTCAAACAAGGCTATAATAGGAGCAGTAGATTGCGGTGCACTCCAAGCCCCATAGGAGATACAGGGTCGAAAAGAGTTATGTCTAATTGACACGGGTGCGACAATATCGTCGGCGGGACCCCAAGCAAATGAACTTTTGAAACCATGGGATACAGTTGTGAAAACAGTCGGTTGAAGGTAGACGGAGTAGCCAAACGGACAGTCTGTGTTCAAAACAAGATAATCGATCATGCATTTGTCATATCAAAAGACACGAACCAGACTATAGTGGGAGCAGATATCTTGCGCAATTTTAGGGCCGTGGTTGATCCGAACAACGAACGGCTTGTTAGCAGACTCGGCACGATCCCGCTGTGACCCTCTAATGGGAAGAAGTTGTCAGCCATGAGTATAGAAACATTTCACACAAATATGTCGCCGTCATTCCGGCTAGTGATGCAACGATTCTCCCACCTGATCCCATGCGATGATGACCCGTACGGGTTCTGTAACTGGGTGGAACACGAAATTCCAATAAAAGCAGAAAACTTTCGAGCCTATGTTTCACGCCGAATTCCACTACACTTGCAGGACGAAGTCAAGCGGCAGGTCGAAGAAATGTTGAAGGAAGCAATCATTGAAGAAACTCGAAATCCGTATAACTCGCCTGTGCTACTGGTCAAAAAGCCCAACGGTAAATTTCGGTTCTGTGTGGATTTCCGCCAAGTAAAAACTGTGACTATAAACGAATCAGTCCCAGTCCCGACTGTGGTAGAAATTTTGACTAACTGCAAAGCGCAAAAGTGTTCTCAGTTGTGAATCTACGGTCGGGATTTTGGCAAGTACCAATAAAGTAAGCCGATCGAGATGAAACGGTGTTCACAGTCGGCAATAAACAATATTGATTCAAACGAATGCATTCCGGATTATCAGGAGCATCATTTACATCCCGTCTCCTCATTGTAAAGTTATTCCACGGTGTCCCGAACGCGGTGGTGCATGGTGACGATATTGTTGTTTACTGCCACAGAACAACCGAACAAACATTCCACCTGGAAACTGTCCTGAAACGAATCCAAGAATCTGGCCTTCGGATCAAATTCCCAAATTGGCAAGCCAACAGTGACTTTACTTGGGCACAAGGTTGGAAACGGAGAATTGAGGCTACTTCCTCAGAAGATCCTCAAGTTAAAGGAGTTTGCACACCCACCATTAAGAAAACATTAAGACGGTCTTTGGGCTGTGCCGCATACTATAGCCGGGTCGTCAAAACTTTTACGAATATCGCTGAACTGTTATACGCCTTGCTCAAGAAAGAATATCGCTTTCGATGGACACCACAGGTCCAGAAAGCTTTCGATGAACTCCAAAGGCTCATGACCGGAAAACATCTGACACTGAAGTCGTCGGTGATTGGCGAGCGCTTCACAGTGGTAACGGATGCCAGTGACGTTGGAGTGGGAGCCGAACTGAAACAAGCACGTGGAGTGGTTGAATATGCAAGCAGGAAAAGAAAATGTTCCACCACGGAAAAAGAATGTCTTGCAATCGTTCGGGCCGTAGAGAAGTGGCAACCATACCTTCTGGGTTAAAGGTTCCATAAAGAAACAGATCACAAGCCGCTGGAGTGGATTAAAACCGCCAAAGACCCGAGGGGAAAACTAGCCCGATGGTCAGAAGTACGACTTCACGATCAATCATGTTGCAGGTGACGAAAACTGTATGTCGGATATTTGTCTCGTTAGGAGGAAGCAGATTGCTTCAATGTCAGTATGCTGGCAGCGGTACAAGACCCGCACGATATGGTGAGGGAACGCCGCAAGAATCAAGAACTCCGCAAGGTGATCGAAACAATCTCAGAAGGCCAGCAATACCGAAACATTCAACATGTGAAATCATGGAGATCCGTATGGAAGCAGCTTAAGTTGAATGCCGCTGGTATCTTAATGAAACGGCAGCCAGGAAGAAGGTGCTTTGTGGTCGTCATTCCGAACCCGCTGCGTCAAATCCTTATCAAAGAAGGTCAGGAACTGGCCCACACTGGATGCGCTCAAACCTACGATCTGCTTCGACAGCGGGTATATTGGCCAAATATGCAGACTGAGGTGTCAAATCAGGTGCTGGCAGGTGAAAAATGCTAAGTGTTCAAGTCAGACTCCCGCCCATCACAATGTCCAATTCAGTCAATACCAGTATCCGAGATCAGTGAATTATGGTCCATCGACCTCATGGGTCCGTTTCCGATGTCCTCTAGAGGACACCAATACATCGTTTTAATGACAGAGAGCACTTCATGCTCTGGATTGAAGCCGTAAGAGTCGCGGATCAAAAAGCCGCTACGATTAGCAGAGTTATGATGCATCGTATTGTGGCGAATCATGGTGTACCACAAGCAATCCTTACAGATCAAGGCCCGTTCTTTGAGTAGTGAATGTCTCACGTGTTTCCGGAAATTAGGCATCAAAAATATACGCACAACGCTCTATCAGCCACAAACCAACGGTCTCACCGAACGCAATAATAGAACCATCAGAGAATGACTGGCAGTCAAAGGAGGGTATTGAGAGTCGGCCCTACCTTCACTAATTTTGGCGTACCGCTCAACTACACAGACCAGTACCCAACATACACCATTTCAACTGATGTATGGAAGAATTCCGGAGCTGCCAGTGGATCTCAACGTTGGAGACGTTGGAAACGATTTATCTCCGCAACAACTTCAACAGACAAGACGTGAAGCCCGGAGTAACCTAAAGAAGGCGCAGGAGGATACGATGCTCAAGTTTAGGATACAAACTAGACGGACTGTCAGTGTGCTTTCGGTTGGATCTAAAGTAAAGTATAAGCAGCACGTTGGGGGACTCGCGAGCGACCCTGGCCCGAGGAAGCTAACTCTCAAATGGAAAGATCAATACCGCATAGTTGAACAACGCCATTTCGTCTACCAAATCCAACGGGTGAACAAAATCCGCCGTGTACATCGGAACGATCTCGCAACATGGCACGAGGAAATGTACAGCACACGCAGTAAACCAACAAAAGAAATTCCAGAAACCAATTACAAAAGGTCAGACATGACGCCGCCAAACGTCGAAAATCGGAGACAAATCCGAGCAGAATCCAAGAAACAGCCGTCCACTGGTCAAGGCGTGCAGCAATCCCTACCGCCGGAGGGAAGAGTGTTTTGAGGTACCATTCAGAACTGAGTAGTACGTAAAATGATGCGATCAGAGGTTTCTAATAATGGGGCACAGAGTTCGTCCGTCAGTGTGGTAGAAGCAATCGAACATTTGCTCACATTGATCGATTCCCTCCCTGCAGAACGACTTCTCCGACGAATTCCAATATCATTTTACATGAAAATGTTCATGCTTAGTCATTGCTTGTCGTTGCTTGGTACAAAGTTTAAGTGAATCGTGGCAAATGACCAACAATGTTGACGGTGAAACCTAATGTTGCCTAACATTCATGCCTCACATTTTTGGTCATGGGAATCCGAACTTTCAGGTTAGACAATGAGATAAAGGCGTGGAAGAAGTGGAACTCAAAGAATCAGGCAAGCATACTTAGAGATGTGAGACAAGGACACAAA